GCTTTGTACCTTTTGTCCATGACATATGGCTTTCATTACAGGAAGATTTTTCAGATTATAACTTTGAGGCAATTGCCTGCTAAAATTCTGCTCGACTTTTTTATGTAGGGAACAATGTAAAGATTAAGCAACTTTTTAATGAAATAGAAGAAACTCATAAAATGTTTGGGTTTCAATTTTAATCTCCTTTAAATATTTTGGTGCTGCAATGTAATTAAAAACATTTGCAAGGTGGAGAAGAGTTATTCCCTACCCATCTTGGCTATTTCCTCATCTAGAAGAGTAACAACCAGCAGCTTTTAGGAGTTTCTACTATGAGCAGCCACGAAAACAAAGGAGACAACATAATACCAAGACAGGGCAGGTCTCTTCTGTATTCAACAGGCTTAGACTTCAAACTCAATTCCTATTTTGAACCTGGACCCTGGTGGGCAAGCCCTGGTTTATCTTTGGGAAACTTCAGATTCTGTTCAAGGTGGAATTAGTACAATGGTCACACAGGCATTCCTAAGTGCAACCTACTGTCATTACATCTTGTGCCATCTTTCAGCTGCCCCATAGAAACATACTGTTCTACCACCTTCAAACTCATGTGTCCTTTGTTCTCAGTCGGAAATTCCTTCCCTGGGTTTTTGGTCAGTCCTGGCAAGCATCAGCATTTTCTTAGCTGCCCATAAATAAGAGGTACCATGTCTGTACTAAATAAACCAACACACAGCATGAGGACAGGCAAAGGAAGCTTATTATTCTTCTTTTTAAAATAAATACTTTAAAATTAATTTTACTCATTTTACGTGAGCTTTGCCTGCATATTTCTGCTCACCATGTGCTTGCTTGGTGCCCACAGAGGTCAGAAGAGGGCATCAGATCCCCTGGAACTAGACTTACAGATGGTTATGGATTATCATGTGGGTGTTAGTAATCAAAGCTTGGTCCTCTGTAAGAACAACAAGTTCTTTTAACTGCTGAACCATCTCCCCACCCCCTATTTATTAGCTGTAAGCCAGTAACTGGCACACCACACATCTGGATGGCACATATACTCTGGAGGTTTGAACTGCGCTGGGAGCAGTTCTGTCAGTCACAATGCTGATGGCCTTTCATGGCCTTATGGATGACTTCAATAATCCTGAAGAGAAGGTTCAAGTTACACTCCAGCACCCACTTTATAACTCCCCCAAAGTCAAAGGGCTAGAATATTCTTTTTTTTTTAAGATTTTATTTATAATATATACAGTGTTCTACCTATATGTTTTGCCTGCATGCCAGAAGAGGGCACCAGATCTCATTACAGATGGTTGTGAGCCACCATGTGGTTGCTGGGAATTGAACTCAGGACCTCTGGAAGAGCAGCCAGTGCTCTTAACCTCTGAGCCATCTCTCCAGCCCTAGAATATTCTTGACAAACATTCTTAGCTGTGTATCATATTTTGCTTCCATCTCTTCTATCATAATAAGCAAACATGATAGGAACAGAAAAACAAAACAAAACAAAAACAAAACCCAAATCTTACAACCTTACTGGACTCATGTTGGGTATTAGAGGCAGTTACCTTCTTTACCTACACTAAGATTTACTTAGAACAGAACACATAAAAGCCTAATTTAGTTTAACTCAACATGTTAAAAGCTTGTTTACTTAACTAGTTTTGCAAAGATGTTTTGTAGGAATGGTTCAGTTTGCTATTAATGACTGTTTTGACTCTGAAACCCTGAATGTTCTCTAAAAGCTATGACAAGAGCGATCGATCCCTCATTGGCCATCAGCATGTACTATGCCGAAAGCATGGAGGGCGTGGGGCTCATCAGCGAATTCAGTCGCAGAGTGCCTACTAGGCTTTCTAAGAGACTGTTCTGGAAAGCCTACTGCCTTGGAGGTGAAGCCAGGTGTTAACTGATATTTTGGTGTAGCAGGAGAACAAACAGATGCCAAGGGTAATTCTAATGCTGATTTCGATTTTGAGGGAACTGGGACGTTTTCCTACTGTAACGGTATGTAACAGAGCAATTAATTCCTGCTTGCCAGCCTGAGATTGTTCACCAAGCTCCAGTTCAGTGTCAGATCTTCTCTGGACAGACAGGAACACCAAGTTATCAATAACCCAAGTTTAATTCAAGAAGTAATAGCAGAAAGGAAAGTCAGGACTTGATGAGCAGGTAAACAAATCTGGACAGTTCCAATATGGAAAATAACTTTAATAGTGTTTCATAACAGAAGGAGGGGAAAAAAAGAACAGAAATGCCCAGTCAACAGATTTATTGTTCAGAATATAAACATCAAGCAGGAACATAAAATATGAGACGTGTCAGCCATGATGCTTGATGACTGAGGGCAGAAGTAGAAGAATCTTAATTGTCAGGCACTTGAAAAATGCTGTCTTCTGGCAAGAGAAAGCCTGTTTCTTCATCCATTCTGCTTGCTCAGAACTTTTAAGAGCTAAACAAGACTAGATTTCAAATATGCAATCTTAACATCCTTCTCCTTACTAAAAATCCCAAACAAAAAAATCTTAAAGATTTGTATTCCAGAAATGAGAGCTAATTACTTCTTATGTATTTGAGACTGGATCTCATACCCAGGATAGCCTCAAATTTGCTACGTAGCTGAGGAACTCCTGATCTTCTTGCCTCTACCCCCAGAGAGATAGGATCACAAGTACATGCTATCAAGCCTGGCTTATGCAGTATTGGGGACCGAACCCAGGGCTAAGCAAGGGCGCATGCTAAGCAAGCACTATACCAACTAGGCTAGATCTCTAGTACGCCCTCCCCTTTTTTTCAGATAGGGTCTCATGTAGGCCAGGCTAGTTTCCAACTTTCTGTATAGCAGCCAAGAACCAAGGATGTCACACTCTTGATCCTCCGCCTCTGCCTCCTGTGGGCTGATGGGATTATAGTGGGTGTCACTATGCTCTGCTCATATGGTTCCTCTCAAGGGTAAAGTTCAACTGTGTGAGCCGGGTGTTGGTGGCACACGCCTTTAATCCCAGCACTTGGGAGGCAGAGGCAGGAGGATCTCTGTGAGTTCCAGGCCAGCCTGGTCTACATAGCGAGTTCCAGGACAGCCTCCAAAACAATACAGAGAAACCCTGTCTCGAAAAACCAAAAATAAAAAAAAGTTCAACTGTGTGAAAAACAATGAGAACAAAGTAATGAATTAATAGTCTGGGGGTTAGAACCTTTATTAAATACTCACAAATTTGTGTAGAATACTCATGCTTCAGGGCTTTACATAGTAATACATCCTGGTGAAAATGATGACTTCAAGTCTTCACAAGGGTAATAATCTCACTCAAAGTGTGAACAGGAATAACCCATAGTCCTAGGTTAAGACAGAACAACTAGCCAAAGTACCTTATTAGCACACAAAATATTCTGCCCCAAGTCAGGGTAACTTATTCATATTACTCTACTATTAGGGAAAGCAGGCCAAGCTCACAGTACACATCATTCCACTCAACTTGGATATGGCAACAATTCCCTTCTAAGTCCATGCCACTCCTAAGTGCTGCTTAAGTCTGAGGAGAAAGAAGGACTAGTCTTCGTGACCCCTAGGGCAGGGAAAGAGTTACATCCTCACACTGAGAAGCCAATAGAACCTCTCTTGATTATAATTTAGATAAGAACTACTAGATTGAATAATAATGTCTGAAACTCCCCTGGCTGTTTCACCTTGAGACGTCCATCACTGGGTTAAACATGATGCTAATTGCATTTGGATTGATTAATTTCTCTCACTCCTGTCTATTCGAATAATGCTTAACAAAATAATCATAGCACCCAGAGCCAAATCTTTTCCGTCAAAGGAATGAAGCCATCAGAACAGGCAGAGATGAAAGAAATGAAGATGACCCGTAATTACAGCTACGGTGATATCATTACCATATTATACAAAATGAGCATGGGGGGTGGAGGAAGGAGGGGCTGAGATTATTTATTTATTTTGATGGAACCCTACAACCTAAGAATACAGATTTGATATCCAATGCAAAGCACAGAAATATGTAACTTTAAAAAATAAAAATCTTGCTCACGAAATTACAAAATCCAGCAAAACCCAAGGTCCAAGATCCATCAAGCATGTGGGGCTGTGGGCATGTACCGTCCATGCTACTGCTTTTTCTGCAGTAACAGTATGCACATGGCCTGCAGAGATGGAAGCTGCTGTCTTCCTTCATACTACAAGGATTCCCATAGCTCCCGGAGAATTCCTTACACCCAAAATACAACTTTATTTTAATGTTGCTAGAAGTAGCCTTGTTTATAAATTTATAACTTGAGTTTTAACTGAAACTAGTTCTAGTTTAAGCTGTCAAAGAAAATAGAGGTCTGTAACTCTTATACATGGTTCATTGGACCACAGTACAGAGTTTATTTAAAACACTAGCAAGGAAGAATATAACACTATTTCCTTATAACTGTTTCTATTGAAAATACTAATACTATTTTCTTATTACTTTTTCTGTTGCCTGAAAGGAGCTTTAAACACTTACGATAGAAAACCTTTGCACAGGATTTAAAACTTGGTTCTACCAGGGTTACGTGTTAACCACCCCAACATCCACCCCATCTGTGATCTGCTAGAACACATGGAAGGGACTGGTCCTGGAGACCCAAAGCTGTAGGATCCCACAACATAGGGCAACAGCAGGAAAAGCAAGAGGAGTCCCAGTGAGGACCCAGCATTGATAGTGTAGTAGAAACCAGAGGCCTCAACCCAACCAATGACTCTTTGAATGAACACTTGCAAGTAAAGACACGTGGATAGAAGGACTTACTGTGTGACTTACTATGTCACACTACCGCTTCCATGATGAGAGTGATTTTCCTTCTTCTTTTCTTTCTCTTAAATTTCATTTTATTTTTTGAGAGGGAGGTTGTAAGGGCAGAGGACAGATATGAAGGGACAGGGAAATGAGTAGGGTGGAAACGCATGATGTGAAAGAGTAAACAAAAACAAACAAACAAACAAAAAACCTAGCTCTAAATCTAGAACTTACTAGATGGTTCTTGCAGATAAAGCATGTAGATTCTCTGTGCCTCAGTTCTTTCATCTGTAAACTACAGACAGATAGACACACGTTCAATAAGTGCTGGCGCAAGAAAATAGATAACAAAACACGTACACTAAAGCAATGCTGCCTCTCCCAACACTAACTTTATGTTATCTACAGAGCCCTGTACAATGTTATGGTCACTCCATTTACTTAAACTAATCAAACAGACATTTGAAAAGTACCTTGCATAGAGAATTTAAAAATATATATGAGATAAATAAACAGGATACTTGGTATATAATTTGAAAAAGATAAGAGGATATTCGTGCAAGGGAATTGTAAAGGCAGAGCTCCCAGTAAAAAAAAATGAAAATGGATAGTGAAATTGTTTTATTTAGCTTGGACAATAGGTATGTTTCTCTATTTTCTTCTTCTTAAAGATTTTTTTAAAATTATATATGTGTGCATGTTTTTCCTGCATGTATGCATGTCCATCATGTATGTGAATGCCTGGTGCCCTCAGAGGTTAGATAATGCTAGATCCCTTGGAACTGGAGTGACAGATGGTTATGAGGAACCATATGGTTCCTAGGTACTAAACCTAGGTCCTCTGCAAGATCACTAAATGCTCTCAATTTCTCAGGCAGCTCTTAGCCCCTACCTACTTTCCTATGTAAGTATTATGAAACAAACCAAGCACATACATTTGAATTTATAATTAGTAACAAATTTGAACAGTACTTTAATTTGAAAAAGCAAAACAAATACTGCCAGTTAATAGAGTAAAAATCTGTTTTGTTTTGTTTTTAACTCAAAAAGAAAAGGAAGCTATCAAAAATTACTGTGGTTAGGGAATTATTTTTACTCTATTAATTCAACATTCTCTGGTCTCTTTCCGGATTAGACAGGCAATGTAATACAGTGAAAATGGTTTATTTCATCTAGCTTTGGAGTTAGACAGGTACAGGTTTAGATTTATTATATAAATAGGTTTATTTTTGTTGTTGCTGTTTTGAGACAGGGTCTAACATTGTAGCCTAGAATGGCCTTGAACTCACTACAATCATCCTGTCTTAGCCTCTTGATCTCAAAATGTAAAGGCTACAAGCAGCCAGCTATAGTGGCTTATAGCAGTAATTCTAGCACCTAACAGGTGAAGGCAAGAAGACTAAGAGGTCAAGGTCATCCTTACCTACATAGTGAGTTGCAGACCAGTTTGGGCTGTAAAACTCTGCCTCAAAAAAACAAATGACCACAAGTAAAATAAGTTATGCTCATGAGCATCAGTTTTCTTGTTTGTAAACTAGAAACTATAGTTTTAAGATTAGACCAGAGATTTTTAAAAAGAAGGAAGCTGACTGTGTGGCAATCCCAGTTCGTAATTTCAGTACTCAGGAGGCTAAAGCCAGAGATTGTCACCAGTTTGAGGCAAGCCTGGGTACTAAGCTATCCAGGCATACATGTGGCAAGCTCCTGTCTCAAAAAAATGAAAGAAAGGAAAAGAAAAAAAAAGTACTGCTTGGCAAGTCAATAAATGGTAGATATCATTTTTATCCTTTATGTCTTAGCCCAAATTTCTCAATTCAGAGTGGTTTCCTTGATAAGTCTAACTAAATCAAGACCTTGTCAATTTTACTCACTTCCATTTCAACCTACTTGTTTCACAGCACTTAAAAAAATCAGAAATTATCTTTCTTGTTTCATGAAGTTCTGCAGAAGCCCTTGCAGCAACTAATGTAATATGAGATAGTCACGGTGGCGCACACCTTTAATCACAGCACTCAGAGACAGAGGCATGAAGATCTCTGGGAGTTCAAGACCAGCCTGTCTACATAGTTCTAGGACAGCTAGAGCTACATGGACAGACCCTGTTAACAAAACAAGAGTACAATACTGTACATATAGCAGCTGGTCAACATTTATTTACTTGTGAGAAGAGAATTTTATATCCTTTTCATTATTATTAGTATTACTATTTTTAATTATTTAATGTGTATGAGTGTTTGCCTGTATGAATGTCTGCTCCACCTGGTGCCCACAGAGGTCAGAAGTGGACACTGGATCTCCTGGCACTGGATTTACACACAGATGTGAGCTGCCAAGTGGGTGCTCGGAATCGAATCCAGGCCCTCTGGAAGAATAGTCAGTGCTCTTAACCTCTGAGCAGAGGTTAAGAGCACTGGCTGTTCTTCCAGAGGTCTTGAGTTCAATTCCCAGCAACCCACATGATGGCCTACAACCATCCGTAATGAAATCTGGTGCCCTCTTCTAACCTGCAGGGATACATGCAGACAGAATACTGTATACAAAATTAATAAACATATAAAAAATAAAATGTAATAATGATGATAAATATTAAAAAAAAAGAGACAGTTTCATATAGCTCAGAGGCCTCAAAGTAATCAAGTAATTGAGGATGACCTTGAACTCTTCATTTTCCTAAGTGCTGGGATTGTAGGGGTGTACTTCCAGCTTTATTCTGAACACTGTGCATAAAAAAACTTTTGCACATGTTGGGGCTAGAGAAATGGCTCAGCAGTTAATAGTACCAGCTGCTCTTCCAGAGGACCTGAGCTCAATTTCCAGCACCTACATGGCAGCTCACAACTGTCTGTATTCCTGTTCCAGGGAATCTGATGTCCTCATACAGACAGACCTGCAGGCAAAACACCAATATACACAAAATAAGAATAAGTAAAACATTAAAGGGGGGGAGGGCTGGAGAGACGGTTAGGAGCACTGACTGCTCTGCCAGGACCTGGGTTCAATTCCCAGCACCCACATGTTCGCTCACAACTGTCTATATATCCAGTTCCAAGGATCTGACACCCTCACACAGATATGCAGGCACATAAATGCACATAAAATAAAATCAAATACATTATTAAAAAATTTTGCACATGTAAAATCACTTCCACATTTGCCTTTGAGCCAGGGTTCTACTACAGAGTGTTTGTATGCTCATTCACTTCAGTAATTTTCATAATAATGAGGTTAAGAAACAACCTAAGCACCCAACAGGAAATGGACTGGTTGAATAAACTATAACATACCATACTGTGGAACATACTCTTCAACCAGGAATGAGGGAAATATCCATTTACTATTAAGGGAGAGAACTCTAGAAAACATTGTTAAATAATAACAGCAAGGTACAGCATGTATATGATATGTTGCCTTCACACGTCACCACATCTGGCCTTATTACCTGACAAGCAAATTTAGCAAGGAGCCGGGCATCGGTGGCGTACGCCTTTAATCCCAGCACTCAGGAGGCAGAGGCAGGCAGATTTCTGTGAGTTCGAGGCCAGCCTGATGTACAGAGTGAGTTCTAGGGCAGTCAAGGCTACACAGCGAAACCCTGTCTTGAAAAAAGAAAAAAAATTAATTAAAAAAAGAGAGATTTGAAATAAACAGAATACCAAATCTATAAAGTATGGCATAACTACACGGTACAAAGTAAAATTTCAAAGGCATACTAAAATTATATGTGCAGTCATATCTATCCTTAGAAGTGCATATCCTAACAGTACAAGGCAACTTAAAGCGCACCTTCAGTCTTCTTATTATAAACAATTAGTGCTTTTGGAGATACTTTTTACTGTGAGTTAAAGCAAATGATTATGTTTGTCATTAGGAACCAAGACTTTCAGAGGGGAGATGATTATAAAATAAGACTCACTAAGTAAAACCCCTTCAATTTGACTGGACATGTTACTAACAAGAACATTTAATTTCCTCCTCTTTTTTTCAAAAGAGTTAGCTCAGTGGGTTAAAAAAGGAACTTGGGCCGGGCATTGGTGGCGCACGCCTTTAATCCCAGCACTCGGGAGGCAGAGGCAGGCGGATCTCTGTGAGTTCGAGGCCGGGCTGGACCGACAGCCTCCAAAACAATACAGAGAAACCCTGTCTCATAAAAACCAAAAAAAAAAAAAAAAAAAAAAAAAAAAGGAACTTGGTAGGGATGGGGGACAGGGCTGGAGAGATGTCTCAGAGGTTAAGAGCATTGGCTGTTCTTCACGAAGACCTGAGTTCAACTATCAGTAACCACAAAGCAGCTCAAAACCAACCATAATGAGATCTGATGCCCTCTTCTGGCATGTAGGCATGCATGCAAACAGAATGCTGTATGCATAATAAATAAATAAATCTAGCCTCACAGTGGTGGCCCATGCCTTTAATCCTTGCGCTTGGGAGGCAAAGGCAGGCAGATCTCTCTGAGTTTGAGGCCAGCCTGGTCTACAGATTGAGTTCTAGGACAGGTTCAAAAGTTACAGAGAAACCCTGTCCTGAAAAACCAATAAATAAATAGATAGATCTTACAAAAAAAAAAAAAAAAAGAACTTGCTCCAAGCCTGATGACATGTTCAATCCCCCATGGTACAAGGAAAGAACTGACTCTCAAGGTATTCTCTGACACATGTGCAGGGTGGCACACATACACAAATAAAGTAATGAAAATTTAATCCTAGCAGCTTGGGAACTAAGGCAGGAGGAGCAGGAATTCTGGAGCTGGAGAGAGAGCTCAGCAGGCAAGAGGGCTTTTTGTGGGAGTATTAGGACCTGAGTTCAAGTCCTTAGTATCTGCATAAACAGTTGGGCACAGCTACACACTATCATTTCTAGTACTGTGACACCAGAGGATTTAAGGAGTTTGCTGGTCACTAGCCTACCTAGCTCTAGGTTCAGCAGGATAGAACAGGACATCTGATGTCTACATGCATGCTTGGGTGCACACGCACACTTGCATAGATCACATACATACACAACTCACACAGGAAAGAATTTCAGGCTGCTTAAACTCCACAATGAAAACATGTCTCCAAACAAAACAACAAAAAACCTAAACTAGGTCATACCAAACCACACCAAAACCCCAAACATACGAATACCAATGAATATGATTAGTGTTTCAGTTTCTACTGAAAGGAATCACGATTCCTTGGAGAGATAGAAGAGATTTCGAGTCTGGAGAAGTAAATGACATGGCTGAAAACAAGGAAGCTACCAAATGTTACTAAAGGCATGTCAAAAGACATGGGGCGAACTCAAAGAGGTGTCCAT